ATCTTGCTCTTCTTTTCACTCTTCTTGACCTTCCTCTTTGCGATCTTCAAGCTCTTACTTCTATGCTTTTCCTATACTTTTCTCTGCAATTTCACTTTTCTTCTTTTTCTTCTTGCTTCCCAAGATTTCTCTCTGTCCTTGCATTTCTCTCATCTCTTTATCCTGTAAATATCCATCCTCTGCCAAAAGTCTGGCTCACTCCTGCCATATCATTATTTTCCTGTCTCTTCATTTAGTTCTGAGTTCTGTTCCTTATGTATACCTGTTTTCCTTATGTTGCTTGGTTGCCTTTGCTTTCTTCTTTGTTTCCCTTTTATTGGTACTAATCTTCACTCTTTTATTGAAAATTTTGTCAGATGTGGTAACTAATGCTCCAGTTCCTGCAATGAAATGTTTTAATGATAATCTGAACTTTTTTTTCTTTTTTAAGGAGTTCCTCATTCCCTTAAGGGCAGAGAAAAGCTACTGTGCCTCCTAAAGGCTTAAAAGCCAGACAGCAAATCCAAATCAATTTGTCATTAGTTTGGGGGCCTGACTAAAGACTGTTGAATTTGTTGATCTTGAGATAGTGACGCTCAGCTTCTCCGTTACTCTCCTTCTGTGAGCTCTTATGTCCCTTTTTCTGCCACCTCTGCTGCTGTCCTCCAGTACATGTGGGCCATAGTTGTCTTGCCTGAGGACACCTTGAGTTCTACCACCATGGAAATAATAGGTTTATTTTGCCCAAAACTGCAGAAATAGGCTGTGGTGTTTAGGTAGCGTGTTACTCTCTTCCACAAAATGGTTTTCAGCTGTTTGTTGCTGAAACGCTCATCAGTTGAACTGTTGTTTGAAAATCAGTGCTGATAATCACTTGGTCTTGACTCTGCAAGAAGCTCTGTTGAGGCAAATGTTTTTGGATCTTAAAAAGAGGAATTTTAGCTGTAAAGGAAGGCTAGGAAGATGCTCTGAGGCTCTAAGCTGCATGGCTCTTACAGCCACTGTTTACTGTTACGACGACAGCCACGTGACTGTGGTGTCAAGCCACAAGCACCAACTCGGTGTTTTCGCTTTTCTTAGGATTGTGGAGTGCAAATGTTTTTGCACGTACTGCATGCTTTCTTATGAATATTCTGTATCAGTCCATTTTAATGTACTGAATTATTTATTTCAGTCTTAAAATTCAGTCTTCAATGTGTGCTTCTTGCTATTGGCAGCAGTAGATGATACGCTTTCTTCTTGACTTTTAAATCTGTGAAGACCCTTTCTGTATATGACCTGTTAATCCTTGGAAGGCATGGGAATTGTGCTCAGATGAGGCAAGGGCCATTGATAAACTGAGTATAGTCTTTTTCTAATAGCATTCAGAAAGATCATGTGAAAATAATTAGTTTACCCTGTCTCAGCAGCAGCCTGAAGGTCCTGCCTTGAGTAATGAGTCATTGTATCCTAATGCTTGATGAAAGTTTGGTATGACTCCTCATGTTGGGGATTCAAAATACAAATGGGGATTCAAAATACAAATAAACTTCAAATTGTGATTCTAAGGAATGAAAAAAGAATCTGAAAAGTGTTTCCCCCCCCCCCCCCCAGTGTTTCTATCTTGTTGAAGACTGGTTTCAGAGATATGGGAAAACTCCATTTGAACCCTCTCTCCTTCTTGCCAAAACTATTCTCTTTTTTTGCATTTCTGCAACTTGGGAGTCAACAATTACTTGATCTTCCAAACTTGTTCATAAGTTGAAGCTAACTTGATAGTTGAAGATAATGCTGTTTACTAGTAATGAATGGATTAGCCACTATTTGAAAGCTGTCATGGAAAAATACTAGTGATTTTTTGGCTGTAAGAATGATGAAAATCTACACAGATTAGTGTTTAGTTGAATGGCTGTAAAGTCTTGAGAAGTATGGATCTATGTTAAGAGGTAGCAGTTGAAATAAATTTGTGAGTCTGCACCTGTTTACCAGATAGCACTTAGTACTGCTTGCAGACAGAGAGAATAAATTGAAACTTCTTATAGGGAAATTCTGTTTTTCTCCCAGTGCAAATTAGTGTGATCCTTAGGGTACGTTTAAAAGTTTCTGCTTTTTCAGTCTTGTCAGCTGAAGAGAAAAAATTTCTGCTCCTCGTCAGTATAAGTAAGTTGGTTTGCGTGGTCTATACAGAGGCAAACAGAGTTCAGCACTGATAGATGCAAGTAAGTGCATGTTTCTTGGGTCAATACTATTAGTACTGAGCTCTTCAGAAACGTAGGAAACTTCTGAAGGAGCGCGTTCACAAGCGCCTGCAGACAGCTCAGTGGAATCTTCTGCCCAGTGCGTGGTTGGAGCCAAGGGATGGGATAGGATAAGGAAGGGGTGGTTCATCGTTACCTTAGTGCAGAATATGTTATTAAAATGTTTTAAGTCAGTAGTTTGTGCTGGTTCAGAGTACTGTCTGTGGCACATCTTGGGCTGTGGGAGACTTGAGAACTACTTGTTATTCCCCCTTTCCTCCCCAGTGTATGGGGTCATGACATTACTATTGTTTTTTTAAGTACTAGCATAAATCTTGCTCCTCTCTTGTTTTGTCGCCCAGTTGGATCATTTACAAATAATTAGAATAAGTAATCCGACTTAATCTGTTGCCTGCATTAGCTATATTAACAACAAAAAAGAGTTATGATTTGTTCTGAAAGCAGTAGTAAGTTTTGGTAGTACAGTGTATGAAATAATGAAAGTTTCAAAAACTGGAATGCTTTTCTTTGAGAAACGGCTTGCATGAAAGTTTAACAAAGCTGATTTAACAAAACTAATTTGGGAAGGACTGTGAGATAAATTTCTTGCATTTCCTTTCAGAAATACAGTGTTTGCATTACAGATACTGGTCTGGCCTGATTTGTTTTGTACTTCAGGATTTGGTTAAGACTTTGTTGAAAGGATCTTCTTAGGATCTCACCACTGCTTTGAAGTGTAGTGATGAATGCTTTGCATCTGTGCTGTTGAGGGGATCCAGTGAACAGTTTTCCTGTTTCATCACGTCATAGGAGATGTAATCAAAATGTTTTAATGTATCAGTCATTGCAAACACTGGTTGACTGCTGTTTGCCATTGCGTGAATATAGGTTTAAAATTACTACTTTTTTCCAAAGTCGTAATTTAAAAAAAAATAGTATTTTGAGGGCAAAAGAAGCTGCACGTTATTTCCCCCGTCAACTACGTCTGTGATCTTGGGTTGCCTCTGAGAGGCACATTAGCCTGGTCATCTGTTATTTGAGTTTCACAGAAATAGCTCTTAATGTTCATAGATCTTCTAATAATATAAAGAGTACTTCAAAAAATTTTGTAGTGAATCTTTCCCATTTATCTTTTATATTTAATGAATGTTACCACTTTAAACACAAAATATTTCAAACACAGCGTGGATCATGAAGTGAATTAACCAGAATCACAGGTCCTTTTGAAACCGTGATACGTTATTTAAAAGCTGCCTTTTTGAGTCGCTCTTCTGTTCTTCATTTTGTAGTAAAACACTGGTGCTAAGCATTCAGCTTATGTTGGCACCGATTCAAAATGAAGGTACATGACTCTCACTTTGTTGGTTAGATGTTCCATATTCATTCAAGGTGTGCTTAACCTTTAGTTTCAAAGGGAAGGTGACTAGTTCCATATGAAAAATTCATCTTTTTCTATGCGGGTGACTCTCCCTAGCGCTCGCAGTTTTGCAGACCACTCAGATTTTACACAGTAAGTCAGCATGAGCGCTCCTCTGTGCAAACCTTATGATAACCAGTTTGTTGAACTTCCTTGCGCTTGCCAGGTAATCTGATGGAACAGTCCTAGTTGGACTACAAATTGGAGGCTTTTCCTAACTGTTGCCAGCAGTAGATCCTTCGGTCAGGCTGGGTGGTATTTAGCAACCATCCCCTGTAACATATGCTTTCAACGTGTGCAGGATAATCAAGAAAACATGCATAGTGCTAGTTTTTGGAGTATGTGGGGACGCAGAATCGTGCCGTGGGTTTCCTGGCGTAAGTGCCGCCAAATTCCTAGGTTGTAAATTTTAAATGAGCAGTAGGGGTGCGATGTGGCCAAAAGCAAAGACGAAAAAAGTAAAATTAAATATGTATATATTTTCAAATTAAAGGTTCAGGTAACTTCGCTTTGAAATAGATACGTTTCTGTTGAATATTTAATTTTTTTGAATGTCATTTTCTAACAGAAAATCATCCCGTCAGAGTTGCTTCACACTCTTCTGGTATAAATACATTATATGATGATCATCATATGAGAGGATCATCAAATGATCATCTTGCTGCTTTTAGTGAAACGGTACCTCCCTAATAATAGGGTGAAATTTCAGCCTTATGTTTTATAAGCTGTCAAGCTATGCACACTTCTCTACCGAAGAGGTTTTTTTTTCTTGGGAAAATTGAGACTTCAACTTGAAGAAACAGTTCAGAAACTAATTTTTCTCTGTTACATAAATTCCAACGTGATGTTTCTTCAGGCATTAGTTCTAACTCAGAGAAAATGCAAAAATTGGCAAGAGGGAGTTACAAAAATGTTACAGTAAGGTTTCTACTTCAATTTACTTGAACTTCATGTAGTTGTTGAACTCTTTGATATCCCAGCAGTAATCAGATGAAACGGTGGCTTTTTCATGGTTTATGAATTATTGGTATTTTTTCTCTTGAACTAATTATGTGCTGCTATTTAACTTAAGCGAACGTGTTTTCATGTTCCCTCCATGGCTGAGCTTCAGACATACAATTTAAATAACGAAGCCAAGCATTAAAGACACATCTGTTTGAAAGGGAGCGTTGTGAGGGATCCAAATAGAGAGGGCAGGGCCTTTTTGTGATTGTTAATTCTGTGGTGCAAATATAGTGGCAATATTATTGAAGTGTGTGATTAAAGTAAGGCAAAGACTATTTGGCAGTAACTGCAAAAAAAGCTGACTCAGGTATTTTGTTTTATTTGTGTATTGTCTTTTACTTAAATAATCTGAAAATCTTTTTTTTTTTTTTTAATTACAGATAAATCAGGCCATTTACCCTGCACAGAGATGGAGGTAAGAAAAGTATTTTGTGTTCTCTGCTGGTGCTGTCTTAGCTCAGCTCTCTTTCTCATTATCTCATCGTGAAAATGTATTTTTTTACTAAGGAGTTATCACTGCACAGTTTTACCATGAAATGTGTATTGTATTTATGGCTTGTGTTAACAGCTGCATAAGTCTTATCTTACGGGATATTTAGTCTCGCATTCAGAAACAGAGGAAAGAAAGGCCACGTGCTTTTCTAAAAACAAATATCATTTGGTCAATGTAAACTTGTTCAATTTTGATTGCTTTAAAATATATACCTTTAGCAGAATATGTTATTTTAGATAATTTCTCTTAGCTAAATTATCTCTCAGTACACTTACTTTAGATAGAACTAGTAAACAGTGGAATAAATACTTAACGTCAAAATGACCAGGGGATTTTTGACAACCCATTTGTCAAGAGTTTGGAGGGAAGTGGCGAAGACAAGTGATCTTAAGATTGCCTTGTCTGTGTAAACATGTCCTTGTTTCAGATACTTTCCATATTTCCTTTAGTTTACCACTTGTCAATATTTTGGGGCCTAAGAGATATCATGGAATGTTTTGCTAGGATTTGAAACAGAAATCTGCAGATTTAACTGAATTTGTATGTATATCTTGACCCTAGTTTGCCTCTGTAGCTTTAATACTAAGCTGTGACTGGTGTGGTAAGAATGTTCAAACTATCATTTTGTCAAATGCATAGATTTAATGCACGACTTAAGTGAAAACTAGGTAGACCTTCCTGTTGAACAAGATTTGGACTCAAATTATAATACAATTTTTTATTATCATACAGAGTAAATCATAAAGTCTGCTCCTTAAATAAATGTGTCCTGCAATAAATGAAATTACTGTGTCCTTTGCAGGGCAGTCTTTTCTCATTGCCTTTGAACTTTCTTTGAAATGTAAAAGTGAGTTTTTACTGAACTGTTGTGGCAGTGCCTCGGGCCAGAAGATGGGGCCAGGCCGTGCACCTTTGTTGGAGGCTTCTTTGTTTTCTTATCAGTAATACATATGAAGGTGACAAATTGCTCTTGCTGAAAGGTTTATAGGTAGATAAACTTTATATGAAAATGACTGTTTTAAGGATGAAGTGAAAAGCCAGCTGATTCAACCACGAATGGCAAAATGCCAAGGCCATCCAGATTTTAGCAAGTATTAATGATCGGATGGGAACAGGCTTTCTAAAGGATACAGGGTAAGGGGCAATTCCTAATTGATATAAGTACAGAAAATGGAAGTACGTGCATTTCACTTCTCTTCATCCAGTTCAGTTTAAGCAAATACATCAATGCTTTTGTTTCAGCGTTTGTTGACATTCAGTTCATAAACCTAGTACCTTATTTACAGATGAAAATCTAGTGTGTCATCTGCTTTGCATACTAAATATTGCTTACAATTTTGCTTTTTTTTATTCTTATTTTTTGTTAGGGAAGGTAATGAAAGGCCCTAACATCAAAACTATAGATATTAATAAACTGCTATTAAAATATTTCTAACAAAAAATAAAATATTTCAGTTTGGAAAAATAAAAATGTCTTTGTTCCAAATGAAAATGTCTAGTGAGAGTTGCTTGGATATTTTCTGCTTTGTTTTCTTCCATAGGGAAAAATTTTTTTTTTTAATTTTATTTTTTTGTAATGTTTTTGTCTATAGAAAGAAAACTTAAGAAGATTAGCATTTCCCGTGGGACAGAGACCTCATTTTAAATTGTCGCTACTAAGAAGCACTGTGACCATTAGCATATTGGCTCTTCTGTCTGTCTTTGTCATCTCAAAGGAGACTGTGAAGGAGTGAGAGGCTTTTGCAACCCCAAAGGAATTCTGGAGGAAGCAGCTTTAGACTTTAGTGTAAATGATGTTTATGCCTTTCAGAACTAGGAGTTCAGCAGAGAGCACCTATCTATCTCACTCATTTGATTGCTATGGAGAGGAATGCAGCCTGATTGGCTGTATTAAAACGTGCAGGAAGTTTCTTAAAATGATAGCTAATAATAATTGTCAAATTTTGGCAATAGATAGAAACTTAACTCTTAAATGGGTACAGCATTTATTTCAAGGTAGCAGTTTGCGCAGTGTGAAATTCCGGGTCCATGTGCCATAGCCATAATGGGAAGATGGAAGCAAGGAACAAGATGACCTTACCTAATCTGCATCAGCCCATGACTCTCTTCTGTAAATGATGATAGCACTACTTAGTTGACTCAACTAAGGCGATGGAGATTATATAAAATATACCAGCCTTGTTTGTAAACATTTCATATTCATATAGAAGGCATTCTGTGAATGTTAAGTGATTCATATGTGGGATGGTTTAATTGCCACATATTTGAAAAGACCCACCTATCTGAGGATGGGCATGTTGTGTATGAATAATATAGTTAACCCATATGTAGGGTAGTATGAAGATACACATAACCTCTCATGTTCATGCAAAAGTCAAAAGTGAATTAAATAGGCTGTCTCAAACAGCTGTGAATAGATCTCGTTTGACACCATTCAGCTCATGTCAAATGACCGCAATGAATTATTTTTAGAAACATTTTAGGGAGATTTCTGTATGTAAATTCTATTTATTTTGGAGCTGTCGGTTATATGAATCTCATCATTATTAAAAATATCTTAGCATACAACAAAAATTATGGTGTACCTGTCTTAGGAACTAAAATTGACAGTATGTAACTTTACTTTTTTTGCCAGGAGTTTGAAATAGTAATTATATATCAGGAAATAATTTAGAAAATTAGTTGTAAGGATATTGCATTTACTTCAATACGAATAAGAATGTATTTGTTAGTTCATTGTATTTATTCAAACATAAAACCAAACACCTCCCAGATTTAATGAAAAACAGCATGCACTTAATAGCACAGAATGTTAGGATTTCAAAAGATGTGTCACAATTTTACATTGAAGTAGTGCCACATCTACATTTAAATGTGTTACCTATTCAAAATTCACGTAGTGTAAAATGTGTATGTTATATACTAATATCTAGGAATCATTTGTGTCAGTGTAGAGTGTAAGTGAAAGTAACATACTGATTGAGCGGGAATTGCTGCAGCAAAGAATCATTATTTTGCACAGTGATAATTGCTATTTCCATTTACCTTATGAGGACAAGGGAGAAGAAATGTCACTGCAAGGAGGACGGGCAAAAATGTTTTTATGAGAATAATTTCCATTACTAAAATACGGGCTGTGTCTTACATCAGAATGAGTTTTGATTGCAAGCAGATTATGCATTGAAAAATACAGAAGTAAGATTCTGTGTGAATGCTAGGTTACAAATCTGGTAATTCTATGAAAACTTTTTATTCCTTATGCTCTTAAGGGGAGAATTAGTAGTGATTCAGGATTGATTGCCTTCTCCAAGTCAAAGTAGAATCAAGCATCTTCTCTTGAGAGTATTAAGAAGCACCAGAGTGCTGGGTGCCATTTCTGAGAAATGAGACGCTTATTGCTTGCTGATGGGATTATGTCATGGAAATGCTGCATGTCCGGTCTTTGAGGGACCATATATATCAGGTACCTGAAAGTCCATTATGCTTGTTCATTGAGACGTTGTTCTGTGGCACTCGGGAAAATTTGGAGGTCAGAAGACTGAATTACTTCGTGACCACAAAGAAACAACCTGACAGACTCTCGATTAAAAGATACGCAAAAAGTAGAGTTTTCGTTCTGATCGTCTGTGTTTTGTAATGAGCTGTTTTTTCAAGAGGAACTCTTGTTGGTTTTTTTTTTTTTTGGTAGTTTGTATAAATGCTTATAGTTTATCAGGAGAGGTTTGATCTTTGAGGAAGATGGATTTCAGTTGTTCATGCGCTTTAAGTTTGGCGCATCACCCTTTTTATTCAACCATTTCATTAAGAATACACAGTGAATATTGGGTTGGAGAACTAATAACACATTTGACTAAGCTGATTTAATGATAGTCAGATCCTGCCATCTGTCCAGAGTCGGTAGGAGAAATCAGGTGTTCCTTGTAAAGTCTTTGTAATTTTGCAGTGCAGTATGTTGCGCCTTTAATAATCTACACACCCTAAAGTAACACAGCATTTGTGATGAAATCCTCATTCCAGTGATGCTGCTGGTAAACCTTTCAGTCAGCTGCGGAAGAGGAGAGGGGAGGATTTCAACCTCGGTCTTCTGACAGCATTTCAGTTAATGATGGTGGAAAATTTGGTCTTGCAGTAGCTTGGTCCCTCCAAGGAGCATTTTCTCTGTGAAAAGCACAGATAGCAGAACATTTAGCATTGTTAGGTGTTGTGTATATATATATATGTAGGGGGGGAGGGGTTTTTGTTTTTCTTGATCTCAAAGCACAAAAATGTTCCTTACATAGCTACTGTGTGGAGTCATTGGAAGTCTACTGTGTGGAAGTTAAGTGGAAGTTTGCAAATTTAGCTTATATGGCTCTGAATGAGATCTTAGGATGTGAGGAGAAGGTAATATGTGCCAGTCTTCAGTTTTTACAGAACCCTTTCTGTATCATTTCTGTTGTATTTTGTGTGTGATATGATACCTATCGTATCAATCATGTGCTATCATATCATATATGTACTGATTGATATGTCAGCTATCATATGAATTGAGTAGCTTTAAGATGCTATTTTTTGATAGGCAAGTGCCAATGGACACATTTGCCTAGCTGTTCGTACCAAAAAGAGTAATCTGATTGCTCAGTTAAACTGAAGGAAAAAAATAAGCTTTAGATATTGGTTGCTGGCAAACAATTTAATGGCCCTTTATATAGTCATTCTCTCTTCTTGTTGTTGTATTATTATGTATATAATAAAAGACAAGTTTGGAATATCATTATGAAATTAGAAATACTATTTCCTTTTTTTTGATTAAAAGCAAGTTATGAACTATAAATAAGTTATAACTACATTTCTGGTCTACTAAACTCTTCAAAGGCTTCTGAGATCATATGACACAGTTTTCTATGATATCTGCTAGCTATAGGTGTTCTGAAAGAGATACT